ATGTGTTTGACTTTCATTTGATTCAATTAGCTTCGTAGAATGTATTTGACTTTCATATTATTCGAAAGCTTTGTTTGAATGTGTTTGACTTTCATTTGATTCAATTAGCTTTGTAGAATGCATTTCACGTTCATTTAATTTAAATAACTTTTGTTTAGGGGTTATTTATGTGTCCTACGGGAGAGTTACAATTTCCTAGTATGCTCCTTCCTTCGCTTGTACCTGCACAAATAACGGAATACTCCAGCTAGGGCTGGGGTGTTCCGCCTCCGAAGATTAAGTTAGTCTCTGTCTAAATGATGAAATAAGACAATAAATGCTTCTCGATTTGAGAGCGTTTGCAAGGGGATTTGTGTTTTGTTGGTTTGTGAGAAAATGATTCCATCCCCATTAACGAGGTATGCCCTTACTATTTATAGTAGGGGAGAGCTGTACCTCAATTAGGGTACAATGACACGTGTCGCAAAGGGATTGGGCCTTTGCTGACCGTTGCAAGCTTGACACCTGGCAGGCCTTTATTGGGCCACGTGTCTTAGGGTATTTTTACCCTAAACATCTGCCCCTCACAGGTGTGACGTGGAATGTCCACGTGTCACCTGTGATAAGTGTCAGACGCATGGGAGGAGAAGGTTCGTCTTCTTCCCTCCTTTTTTCAAATTTCAAGTTTTTAGGGCAGAAGGCATCGTTTCGCCTTCTGCTCCTTCTATAAATACAAGGCTCCCTCTCTCTCCTCCGCACTTTGCATATTTTTCAAAAATTTTCCGAGAGAGCGCTCTCAAGTCTCTAAGGTACCGGCTGCCCTTTTCTGTTTACTTTCGCTTTTGACGATTTTGAACGTTTCACCCCATCCGGGTTGCATGCCGCCTGGGGGGCCTTTAACCCATATCCCATTGTTGAATCTTCTCCCTCAGTCGGCATAGCCCCGTCTGAGGGGTCTTCAACTTTTAAGCATTATGCATTCTAAACACTCCTATCCGGTTTTAGCACCGTCTGAGGGGTCTTTGAACCTTCCTCCAATAGACTTATCCTTTAACACCACCTGGGGTATTTATGAGTTTTTATCAAAAAATGATTTCAAAAACCCCAACCGGATTGAAGTCGGTTGGGTCATCATCCTTGTCTCTTTTTGGATTTTTCAAAGAAATTTTTAAGATGCGCTCAATGCACCCTCATCCGGCATTTAGCCGTTTGAGTCCTTTTTGAGCGATCTATTTTATTACTCAAACAAGGTACAAACATCCCTCGTCTGGTGTTTTTCCGCATGGGGGTTATTTGAGCAGCCTTGGCTTTTTCTCAAACAACATTCAAATAGCCCCCATCCGGCATCTAACCATATGGGGGTTGTTTGAGCAGCCTTTGCTTTTTCTCAGACAACATTCAAATAGCCCCCATCCGGCATCTAACCGTATGGGGGTTGTTTGAGCAGCCTTTGCTTTTTCTCAAACATATAAATAGCCCCCATCCGACATCAAACCGTATGGGGGTTGTTTGAGCAGTCTTGGCTTTTTCTCAAATATCATTCAAATAGCCCCCATCTGGCATCTAACCGTATGGGGGTTGTTTGAGCAGTCTTGGCTTTTTCTCAAACATCATTCAAATAGCCCCCATTCGACATCTAACCGTATGGGGGTTGTTTGAGCAGCCTTGGCTTTTTCTCAAATATCATTCAAATAGCCCCCATCCGGCATCTAACCGTATGGGGGTTGTTTGAGCAGCCTTGGCTTGTTCTCAAACATCATTCAAATAGCCCCCATCCGGCATCTAACCGTATGGGGGTTGTTTGAGAAGCCTTTGCTTTTTCTCAAACATACAAATAGCCCCCATCCGGTATTTAACCGTATGGGGGTCGTTTGAGCAGCCTTTAGCTTTTTCTCAAACATTCAAATTGTCCCCATCCGGCATCTTACCGTATGGGGGTTGTTTGAGCAGCCTTTAGCTTTTTCTCAAACATCATTCAAATAGCCCCATCCGACATTTAGCCGTTTGGGGTACCTTTGATCAATTTTTAGCTCATCCAGGAATCCACCGCTTGGGGGGCTTTTGAATGAGTTTCCATTAAATATATCTGATCTATTTTTTTTATTTCAGCTTCAAACACATTCGGAGACTTCCGCATGTGGAGGTTTCAAGCCACCATCTCAACAAATCTCAATCTTCTAAGGTACCGCCTGCATCCTATACTTCACTTTCTTTTATTTCCGGTTGCATAGCATTAGGATATGGACTCCACCATTGCACACACGACACAGCCTACGACTGTGGTCAGCCGGTCACCAGGAACGGCTGAGTCTAGGACTGGGATTGCCGTCTAGGGGTGCTTGGAACAACCTTCACCTACATCGAATCCGACCGTCTCTGTTCATGTGCAGGATAGAATGGCTCGGATCAGAGTGACATCAATCGACCCTGACTATCTGTCCGATGATGCAGCCGCTGACGCGGCTGACCCTATAAATCAAGAACAAGCTGAGGAACCGGCTAAGGTGGGTCCTAATGAGGAAGTTCCGCAAAATTCTCCGAGTACACCTAGCACCTCGGGTGACAGTATCTTGGATAGCTCTGGTTCCAACGCTGAGGAATCCGGAGAGGAAACCGGAGAGGGATTCGTAGAGGTATCTGGAGAGGGGTCAGCCGGTAATGAATCTGGAGAGGAATCAGCCGGTAATGAGGAGTCTGGCCCTGATGAAGAGTCTCCTGGGACGGCTGACCCTATAGACGAAGAAGCTTATAAGTCGCCGGCTGCTGGCGACCCTACCGACATGACCATGTCTGCCAGAGATGTGGTTACTCTAAATGCCACGCTCCCTGCTTTCTGGGAAGTGGTTGTCCCGCCTGTTGAGGCAAGCGTCGTTTGGACTGACGAAGTGGACAATGCCGACAACTATTTCGGCAGCTATGAGGCGGCATTCACAGCCGGCCTCCGTTTCCCCCTTCACCACTATATTAAAGCCATATTAAGGGGGTACGATTTGGGCGTATGGCAGTTGACCCCTAACTCATGGGTCAACATACTTGGATATATTGCCGCCTGCGAGATGCAGGATGTCAAACCAAGTTGGGAAGCCTTTGCGCACATGCATTATCTCAGCAGGGCGTCGGGTGGGTGGAACACATGGTATACTCTGACCACGCACCCGGAATATATGATGACATTGGACAAACCGTCCAATTGGAGTAGCTGGAAGAGCAAATTTTATGTCGTCTCTTCTCCATTTCCTCAACTTAATCACCGGCTGCGTAGATACAATAAACACCCAGCTTTTCTTGGTAGGAAGTGTGCTCTGCCTAGAGTGCCAAGCGAGGCATGGGATTAAATCATGGACAAGGGTCTCTTCAAAAAGACAACCTCTCGCCTGGATGATGGGAGTGAGATAATAGTTCCTCAGTTCTGGGTGCCCTACCCGGACTTGTTCAAGGATAAGGCATTTCTCTCCGCCTGCAACCTTAGCACCATGTTTTCTAAGAGTAGGTTTTTACTTATCACTGGCCCTAGCCGCCTGATATTGGTATGTTGTACTGCATATTAACCATTTTGTTTCTGCAGAAGTTGCGATGAAGAAGCTACCAAAGGAAAAGACACCGGCTACCTCAGCCGCTCTTCTCCGGAGGGAGCAAATTGAGAAAAAGAAGTCGCAGCTGGCGGCTAAAGACGGCGGGGTAACATTTATTTTCTCTTTTTCACCGGTGGTAGCATCTGTATACTGTGATATTAACCGGTTGGCTTTGTATATTTGCAGGCTGGGAACAAGGGTGTTCCTCGCTCTCTGTCTAAGATGGTCAAGAGACCGGCGGGGGACATTCCGCTGCCTGCAGCTAAGGTATTAAAAATGCTGGTCCCCCCGCCGGATAAGACTATTCCCAAACCGCCTGCATGAGGCAGGCCCACCACTGGAGGCAAAAGCCTTAGTGGTATTGCTCCCACCATTGAAGTGGTGGATGAGAGTGTGAAGGAGCCGGCGACTCCGGCTGGCAAGACTCAAACGGGTACTGACTCCAACGCGGCTGTGGGTGATTCTACCCCACAGTCTGACAAAGGTATGACTTTTGCCTTTGATCCCCCTGGCCGCTTGGGCCTATGCGAGTAAAGACCCAAGCATGCCAATCCGAGGATTCTTCTGGCAGCCGTCAGAATATTGGCGAGGCGTATGCTCAGCACCTGACAGATAAATCTCTAATTGCAGATGCTACCTCCAGCCGGCCCAACTATCAACAGTATGCCAAGAGGATGATCCGGACCCTTACCCGGACCGAGAAAGAGGCTGTGCCGGCTGTGCATACAGTCAACATTGACCGGATAACTTCTCTCCTGGCTGAAGTAAGTTTTACCGGATGCACCACCTTCTTGTAATTTCTTTGTTTACCGTTTTTCAGTTGTTTGAAGAGATTCTAACATTCCTCTACCGGCTAATATCACAGGTGATGCTGAGAGTTGACGGGCTTCAGGTCCCCTTGCGCAAGAAGCAAGAGGAGGTAAGGGATGCCCAAAGACGGGCATCTGAGCTCATTGATGTTTCCCAATACAATGCCATTAGATATGACATGGAAACTAAACGGCGAGAGTTGGAACAGGAGGAATTGCTGAAGCAAACTATTGCGGCTGTTGATGCGGAAAAGGCGAGGGCGGATGAGCTAGATCTGAAGGTCAAAAATCTCCAAGCCGATCTCAAGGCTTTAGAAGGAGCTGACAAGGAAAACGCCGACCTTTGCGCTGATGTCAACCGACTCAAAACAGAACTTGCTTCTATTCAAGCGGCTCATAAAGAAGAGCTTAAAAAAGAACAGAGCCGCCTGATTGCTGAGAACGAGACTGACAATGAGGAGCGCATGAAGCTCGCCTGGGGGCTCATACACCCGGACTATGACTACGAGTTCTTCGACCTTAGGTACAAGTATGCCTTAGAGGTATACGATGGCAAGGTCCTTGGACTGGACCCGCCTGCTTCCTTCGAGGAATGGGCAGGTTTGTTTGAAGAACAAGAGGGTGAGCAGGCAGCGCAGACTCAAACGCCACCATCACCCTCCTTCAACCAATGAGTCTTTGCCTTCTGTTTCAAAAACAGAAACCTAGCTGTGTGAGCTTCATTATAAGCAATTCGTGGCTCATGCTCTTGCTGAATAAACTCGGTATTTGTAGGGTCAGCATTAAATTTCCTCTGAATCTCAGCCCAAACCTTACTAGTAGCTAGGTCAGTGCTTTCAATAGAAGAGAAATGAGTAAGGTTCAGAAGTTTAAGATCATGCTTAAGAGCTTTCAGCTTCTTTACCACCCTGTACATTGTTGTTCCCTGAATTGGTCTATCCCAAACCTTCTGAACAATATCATGGAAACAAGGAGCATCAGTCCACATGTTGAAAAATCTAAAAGGTTTTTTAGTATTCCCAGCATTTGTATCAAGATTCATACAGCAAGGAGTATGATCCATCAATCCTTTTGGCAGGAATTCAGCTGAAAAGTTAGGAAACATATTGAGCCACCCATCATTCACAATGGCTCTATCAATTTTTGTACAAACCCTATCCTCAACCCCTTGCTTATTTGTCCAGGTATAGTACAAACCTCCCACATTAAAGTCAGTGAGATTATTCATTCTCAGATAACTTCTAAACTGCTCAACCTCAGCTAGGGTACATTGAGATCCAATTCTATCCTCAAGATTTAGGATATTATTGAAATCACCACATAGGATCCAAGGATCATCTCCCGGGGGAGAAATCTTGGAAATGTGAGCCCATAGACCTTCCCTTTCTGCAACAGTGCTCAAGCCATACACCATAGTCAACCAGAACTTCTTCCTCATAGCAATATGAGTAATACAAACATGAACAAATTGAACATCAATTTTACAACTTTCCACAGAGAAAATGCTAGGCAACCAAACTATCAAGACCCTAACTTTATCACTAACAGAATGATTGGTGATAACAGACCAATCCCTACCAAAATTTCCAAAGACTCTCCGAAAATTCTTACCTCTTACCTTAGTTTCTAAGAGGCCAAACAAACCCATGTTGTGGTGTCTCATAAAGCATAAAACATCACACAGTTTCCCAGGCTTGTTCATTCCTCTCACATTCCAGAACCCTAACTTATCCATTAATGGAAATTGAGCACTGCCCCCCTTCCATTCTGCTATACAACACCTGTCCACTAAAAATTACAGCTTTATCTTGTCCAGCACTACTCCATGTCTCCTTCCCAAACCTGCCCTGTTCAATATCCTCCTCTGTATCTTCCTTCTCAAGGCTACTAAATCTGTTCCTTATAAAAACAGTAGCCTGCATCAACTTACCAGAATCCTCCCTTCTATCTCTCATAGCATTAGGGGAACCCTGATCATCTCTAGCTTCCTGATTTCTTTTGACAGGCCTCCAAACTTTCTCCACCCTATGTCCTGTATACCCATTCCTTGCCCCTCTTCGATAATCCTGTGTTTAAAGATTAGGGCATTCTTCCCCTAAGTGTCACACACCTGTGCAAATAGTACACTTAATCGGTGTCCATTCATACACAATCTTTTGAGTATTACTTCACCTTTTTCATCAAGAAATTCAATTTCCTACTTTAAATCATCCTTCATGTTCATTTCCACCATAACTCGAGCATATCTTATTAACTCTTTTGTTGCAGTAGCCTTATCAGTTTTGAATGGTTTACCCAGGATACCATCAATCTTCATCAGCGGAGACTTCCCACAAAATTTTAAGTCCAGACCAGGCAATCAAACCCAAATAGGCACCTCATGTATGTCTTCTTCCTTTAGATTTAGTCCAGGTTCCCATTTCTTTGCAACTAATGGTTTCCTGTCGAAAACATGGGTCCCGCCATTAGAGCCTTATCCCTGCCTTCAACATTCCTAAATCGAACCAAGAAAACCCCATTCTCCATTACTAAAATTTTATCAATTCCAAACCTACCCCAACATCTTCGCACAAAACCATTCAAGATTCGTAGAGGTAAATTTGATCCAAGAACATAGCAAACCATAGTAGAATTCCAGAAATTAATTTCCGGTTCAACATCATCCATGGTTATTCTATACCCTGTTATCACCATGCATCTTCTTTAAGCCATTCATCAATCCACTTTTATTAGACAAATCCAGACCCTCATCCTTATTATTCTTAAACATATCACTCCATTTACCCCCAATATTTCCACCAAGACCCAAAGAATTTGGGGTTTCAAGAACAGAGTCACCCCTAATTGGACTTAAGACATCAATGAAATTCAAATTTCCATTGTAAGAATCATTTCCAATCGGATTCTTGGAGTTTTCAATCATCAAAAGAGGGGTAGGATTAACATACCTCGAAGAATTTACCGACAATTCACCCTCCTCTGGCTCTACACCAGCACTTATTAATGGCGTCCCTTGAACAATCACATTAAGCCACTGATCAAACTGGCTTTTATGGAGCAACCTCTCTTCCTCAGAAATTTGATTCTCCATCCTTTTATCCAAATCTTCATCGATCAGCCAACTAACTTTTGAACTTGTCTCTGCCTTCGAACCCAGATTTTGCAATTTCACATTCATCCTTGTATTCGGCTTTGAATTAAACTTTCCATTAGATTTAGAATTGGAGGATTTCTTCCCCTTACCCTTTTTCCCCTTCGCCATTTTTTATCAAAAAGCTTGATAAAAAAAGCGGGAAAGATGAAAAAATAGGTTTCATTTAATTAGCATTGTTGAATGCATTTGACTTTAATTTGATTCAAAAGCTTTATTTGAATGTGTTAGACTTTCATTTGATTCAATTAGCTTTGTTAAATGTATTTGACTTTCATTTGATTCAATAATATTTGTTTGAATATGTTTGACTTTCATTTGATTCAATTACCTTTGTAGAATGCATTTGACTTTGATTTGATTCAAATAGCTTTGTTTAAAAGTGTTTGACTCTCATTTGATTCAAAAATCTTTGTTTGAATGTGTTTGAATTTCATTTGATACAATTAGCTTTGTATATTATACTTCACTTTCATTAGATTTAATTAGCTTTGTTTGAATGTGTTTGACTTTCATTTCATTCAAAAAGCTTTGTTTGAATGTGTTTGACTTTCATTTGATTCATTTAGCTTTGTAGATTGCATTTCACTTTCATTTGATTTAAATAGCTTTGTTTGAATTTGTTTGACTTTCATTTGATTCAAAAAGCTATGTTTGAATGTGTTTGACTTTCATTTCATTCAATTAGCTTTGTTGAATGTGTTTCGGGTGTTTTTGGTCCCTCGGGAGAGTTACAATACGGAGTATGCTGCCTGACTTCTGTACCTGCAAAACCACAAAACTCTAGTTAGTATAATTCCGGATGAGAAAGCGTGTGGAAAGTAGAATGAATGTTTCTCTTGTAGGGTTTCGTAGTGACCAAACACTACGCGGAAGGAAACCCCCTAAGACCCGCCCCTTAATTAAAATAATTAACAAGTATACTAAACTTAATCAAACAAGATAAAGAACAAGAATAATACCTTTGTTGCGTGCTTTGCTCCCGAACAGCTCTTACTTCAAAATCCCGAAACTACGAGATCTCCGATGGATCGTACCCTCGACCCGACCCGAGCGTCCCATGTCTTGAAGGTTAGTCAAGACCCAGAAAAATAAAACTATGAGTTTTGTGAATCAAAGGTTTACTCTAATTATAAGAGTTGCCTTTTTAATTCCACTCATGGTTGTGAATTTCCCAATACCATGCCTTTGGAATTTATAGGGAAATGCACCCTTGATTTCCAATCTCCCATCAATGTGGGAGAGTTGGTCAAAATAAACAATTTATTTAATTCTAAATTAAATAAATAACCAACTCAGTCACATTACGACAAGTGGCACAATCACATGCTTGAGTGATGGCCACGGCTAGGAGGGGGGGGGACCATTTGCCTTGCTCCCCAAGGCCTTGATTCGGTCCTCACATCCATGCACAAAACCAGGTCAAGGAGGATTAGCTGGCTGCCAGCTAGCACTGCCTTGCTGCCCAGCACCCCAGCCATCCAGTGAGTGCTGGTGCTGGGCTGTGCTGGTGATGTGTGCTGGCGCTGGTGCGTGCTAGTGCCATGCGCTGGTGCGTGCTGGTGCTATGCGCTGGTGCGTGCTGGTGCTAGGCGCTGGTGCGTGCTGGTGCTGGCCCTAGCACTCCAACGCACTACCTCGAACACTCACCCACTCCCACGCTAGGCGCACCCACGCATCTAGCCCCATGCTCGCAATGCCTAACATGCGTGCTGCTAGCGAGCCACGCATGCTGGGCTTGACTCTTCTTGATAGCTATTCCTCGCATACACTCGCACAACCACACGCACCAGCCTTGGCCATGCACCACACACTATGCATGCATCAGTCTCGGCCATGCACCATGCACTATGCATGCATCAGCCTCGACTATGCACCACGCACCACACACTATGCATGCATCAGCCTCGGCCTAGCACTAGCTGTGATTGGTGCGTGTGGTCCTGCCATGCGCGCCTAGCGTTTTTCTAGGGCAGCGACGGCACCTAGCCATCCTAGGGCACGCATGGTGCGCCTAGAGATGCTGCCTAGGATGCGATGGTGCCCAGCCACCCTAGGGCACGCATGCTACGCGTAGCGATGCTATATGGGCTGCGATGGGTTGTGATAAGCTGCGATGGTGCGCTTAGCACACCTAGTGTGCTTAGGCTTCCGCCTAGCCATGCTAGGTGCATGCTAGCTTGAACTAGGCTAGCATCCACATGGCTAGGCCAGTGTGGTGCTAGGGCTATGTTCATACTTGTTGCTTTGTGATTTTGCGATGCTCGGTCTCGACGCCCTAGGCTCGATTTCCGACATCTGTATTCGTAAAACTCTGTCGACTCATTAAATCCTTTCAGATTAATTCGTCGTCTCGGAGGTGATTCGATTGGGTTCGACCCGAAGGGTTCAGTTAAGATTAAGGTGTAATATCAATTGTACCTCGATATTACTGATCGGAAGCGGCCTCCACCTAGGCATTCCGATCACTTGATCTTACTGAAGAATTAACTCTGTAATAATTCTGAACCCTCTATCGGAAGAATACACTTGTTGGAAGGACACCATTCCTTTCATCTCTCTGATTCAGGGAGATTCCGCAATTAAGATTGCTCGAGTTTTGTGTATGTATGAATGAATTGGTCATAAATGAGAATTTTTCCCCTATTTATAGTGGGGGAGGCATGTTCCCTGATTAGGGTTTTGATGCCACGTGTCAGCATCTGATTGGATCCCGTTGGGCCTCTAGTGGGCTGCCACGTGTCATCATATTACTTGTCCACGTGGCATAGGGTATTTTTACCCTAAACAGAATGCATTTGACTTTATTGTATTCAAAAAGCTTTATTTTAAGGTGTTTGACTTTTTTTTTGGTAAATAGAAAATTTATTACCAAGAATTGGAACTAACAGACCGCCCAAACTACAAAGACCACAAGACCAAACAACCACCAAAATTAATTCAAGGCTCATGGTTAACCACCTTCTAGGAAGGGTGCTAACCGGAGACAAGAACAAACCTGGATCCTAGCTACTGTTCACCTTCTAGGAAGGGTACTAGGAGCACGGACCAGGCACAAATAGCCTACTAGAACTCAGAAAACAAGCCTGAACAAGGAAGGCAAGCAAAACAGCCCAAATAGCCCAAAACAGCAAGGCATTTACAATAAAAACAAACACGAAACTAAAATGAAAACCTGTCTGCCCCAAGACCAGATAAGCTTCCTTCTATCAGTCTCATTGCTTCTGCAAGCAACTCTATACACCAGCTTCCTGAAAACAGTCTCAGCAGGTTCACAAGAGCCTTTAAACAGGACACTATTCCTCTGAATCCAAACATAGTGAACTGCTTCAGCCAAGAACATCAAATGTAATCTACTAGTGTGATCAGTTCGTCTTCTTTTCTTGATAGCCCATTCTGTTTCCTAATGAAAACCCTGGACTGGTTTTTGACACTTAAAAAGCTGCAAGACTCTTGACCAAATCCTGGCAAAGTACTTACACAGGAAGAACAGGTGTTGTACACTTTCATTCTCTTCCTAACAAAGATAACAGACAGGGTCACAATGCTGATTCCATAGAAGGATCCTGTCCTTAATCAACATTCGATTCCAGCTTGCAAGCCATAGCAGGAGCACACTTCTTAGGAATGCATTGTTATTATATACAAGTCTTTTCCAAGACACTCTAGTAGCCTGTTGCCTCAACTTGTCATAGATTTTTTTAATTTTAATCCCATTGCTACTAGCTACTGAAATCCAGCCTCCAATTTTATCAATTAAGCTTCTTTGCTTCATAACCTTTCTGAGAACCCAAGAGCTCTTCTGTGGGATGTTAACAGTCCAGGGATCCCTATCCTTGAAGTAATATACATGAAGCCATTTGACCCAAAGAGTATCAGCTTTGTGAGTAATATCCCACAAAATCTTGTAAATTGCAGCTGTATTCCACTCTTGAAGAGCAATGACATTCCAGCCTCCAGAAGATTTAGGAAGACAAATGGTCTTCCAGGCTATAAGAGCTTTCCTTGTGGGGTTAGCTGTTCCAGTCCACAAGAAAGCCCTAAACCTACCTTCAATCTCTCTCATAATCTTTTTAGGATGGATAAAAATTTGTACCCAATAGGTTTGAATACCAAAGAGCACACTCTTGATCAATTGAAGTCTACCTGCATAAGAAAGAAATCTGATAGCCCAATTTCCAATTCTACCAGTTACCTTATTCACCAAGGGCTTGCATTGATGGATTGTAAGCTTCTTTAAGGATAAAGGAACCCCAAGGTATTTAAAAGGAATAGAGCCATTAGTCATACCCAGCCTTCTGAGAATAAGATCCCGTTCATCCTGAGTAATCCCCCCACAATACACTTCACTCTTGCTGAGATTAGCTGTCAAACTAGAAGCTCTCGAAAACTTCTAAAAAGCACTGAGCAAGAGCTGGACAGAACAGTCATCAGCCCTTGCAAATAATAAGAGGTCATCAGCAAACATTAAATGAGTGATGGAAAGCTTTTCACACCTTGGATGAAAATTTGAAATTAGGCACTTTACCAAGCTCATGCATACATCGAGAAAGATACTCCATGCCAATAGCAAAGAGAAAAGGAGACATAGGATCTCCTTGCCTCAATCCTTTTTTTGCAATAAAGGGAGTGGTGGGGGTTCCATTAATAAGAACAGAAAAAGAAACAGAGGTAATACACCCCATTACCCACTTAATAAACTTAGTAGGGAATCCAAGCTAACTCATGACAGCCTTGAGAAAGCTCCATTCAACTGAATCATAGGCTTTTTTTAAATCTACTTTAATCATGCATCTAGGGGTGATATGCCTGTGGTTGTACCCTTTTATAAGGTCAGTAGCTAAAAGGATATTATCCCAAATGTGCTTCCCTGGGATAAACCCAGCTTGAGCCTCATCAACAACCTCCCCAATAATCTGAGCCAATCTAGTAGTGATAATCTTAGAAATAATCTTGTAAAGCACAGTACAACAAGCAATGGGTCTATAATCACTGGCATAAGAGGGAGTTTGAACCTTGGGAACTAAAGTCAAAGTAGTAAGATTCCACTGAGAATTCACAACCCCAGTTTCAAAGCAACTATGAATAGCTTCATAAATGTCAAGCTTGATAATCTCCCAAGTAGATTTGAAAAAACCAGCATTGTAACCATCAATCCCTGGAGCTTTCACACTAGATATACCCTGAATAGCAGAATCTATCTCAGAATTAGTGATAGGAGTAATGAGCATGGCCTGAGCTTCCTTAGAGAGCTGTTTTCCTGATCTCATGGTTACCAGATCAATAGCATCAAGAGAAGGAGAACTAGAGCCCATAAGCTTCTTGTAAAACCCAATAACTTCTTTCTCAACATCAGTTGGTGCTTTTAACAGGAGTTGATGATCTATCAGAATAGTATTAATCCTGTTCCGGGATTGTCATTGTTTCATCATGGAGAAAAAGTACTTGGTATTAGAATCACCAAGCTTAATCCAATCTGATTAGGGGATTTTTATCCACCAATCAGCATCCGACACGTGGGCCAGCCAGGTTTCGCCACGTGTCCTTCATCTAGGCCAATAGGAGCCTGCCACGTGTCATCAAGAGATTCGTCCTCCTTGGACCAATTGGAATGTTACACGTGTCCACCCATTCCAAATGGGAAAATCGGCCAACAAGGCCAAATCATTGTGGGAGGCCCAGTCAGCCTTAGGTTTAACCTAAACCTAGTACTGGCACGCATCCCAAGGCATATAAATATGCCCATTAATCCTCATTAAGGGGGATTACGCACATTTAACACTTTCACCTAGAGAGACCCAATTACTTTTATTTTCGCATTAATTACTCCTTAATCAAGTACTAACTTTACCGTCGGAGGCGGATCTCCAATCGTCCGGAGCATCCGTTTGTTTTGCAGGTACAGGCGTCCGGTTCCTGTCTCAGAATTGTAACTCTCCCGCAGGACATCAGAAAACCCCGAAACATTTTGGCGCCGTCTGTGGGGAGAGTACTTCTGAGATGGCATCCACGTCTGTATCGACTCCTGAAGAGAGGCGTCCCCTAGACGACCCTCAAGTTCAGTCGGACCATGATACTGAGGAAGAATTTGAAGTTGAAGCTCACACAGCTTCAGACGGGACCCTTAGGGCCCGACGCACCCGTCATACCGAAAGGAGAGAACGGGAAGATCTTCAAACTGGACTTAGTGATCCAGCCGGCGCACTGCCTGTTCAGCAGCAGCCGGCTGATGGGTCTGCTCCCATTACAACAAACGAACTCATGACCTTCATGAGGGGCTTCAAGGGAGAGATTCAAGAGTTGCTCAACAAGAAGCCGCCTGCTTTGGCCAAGGAGCAGTCGGCTAAGAAACCTTCCTCTTCAGGGAAGAGGAAGCCTGTTCAAGGGCGAGAGGCGACCCCACATCTTAACTCTAGGAAGTGGGAACCGCCTGTCCTTGATTTCACAAAGTACCGCTTTCCTACTCCAGGAAAGAGGAAACCTGTTCGTCATATTCAGGCGGACGGGTCGAAGAAAACATACACAGATGGCTATTGCTAGAGCAGAAGAAGAATGGCCGATTGTAAGAGTCGGCCTCCCGTCAGTCCGGCTTTTATAGTGTCCAGGCGGTACCAAACTTACCATTTGTACCGAAACAACAATATTTTTTACGGCCACCTCTGTTTGGAGGGCATGCAGCAAAGAATGTCCAACCTATGGACTGGCAGCTACGGTTGCTTAGACTTGGGGAACAGCCGTCGGCCTTCTTCAAGGAAATTACTGAAGCCGCTCAGGCTGCCAAAGTGAAAAATGTATTAGTAGGCGCCTATGACGGCACTACTAACCCAGAAGACCATTTGATGGCATTCACCAACCTGATGTACCTTTAAGGGTTGGATGATCCCACTTGGTGCAAGTGTTTTCCAGCGACTCTCAAAGGAATTGCACAACAATGGTTTAGAAACCTGCCGACTGGTTGTGTGAATAACTTCAGGACGCTTGCTAACTTATTCACCTCCAACTTTGCCATGAACAAACCTGCGAAGAAGACGACCCTTGATTTAGGAACGATTCAGCAGGGCGAGAAGGAGGGGCTTCGTTCTTACATCAGGCGGTTTCCCCTGATGAGAATACAGATTCAAGGGTTACCGGATGAGGTAGCCTATACTGACTTTTTCAGAGGCCTCAAAGACGGGTCGACATTCAAATTTGATTTGGTTCGAAAGAGGGTGGCGACTCTTCAAGAGGCCTTGATTGAAGCGGAAGCCTATATACAGGCGACTGATCTTTGTAGTACGGGAAAACAGTCGGACGGGAAAAGGTTCGACAAAAGAGAAGGACGACAAAAACAGTCGTCGAACAAAGATGAGAAGAAGAGAAAAGAGGTCTGAGCGGCTGATTCCTCTAAACAGCCGGCCCAGAAGAAGAGGAAAGAATTCAAACCATACTCCCCAAAGTATGCGTTTAACAAGGATAGCTAAGCTATCCTTAAGGTAATCAAGGGACGGATCTCAATTGACAAGCCGGCCCCCATGAAGGGTTCTGCGAGCAACCGGAACCAAGAAAAATTCTGTGATTATCATGAAGATGTTGGTCATCACACCAAAGAATGCATCAGTCTCATGCGGTATCTGGACCGCCTGGCTGAGCAAGGCGATCTTGACTCTTATGTCAAGAAATCTACGGGGAACACTTCCTTGAAAAAGCAGTCGGCCAAAAAGAGTCAACAGGCCGACAACTCTGATACAGATGATGCAGTCGTCTACACCATTGCAGGCGGCTTCTTAGGAGGCGGCCCCACTATTAGGGGCAACAAAGACAATATCAGGCGGCTAGACGTAAATTCCGTTCACCAAGAACGGCCCTCCAAATATTCATTTCCTGATATTGTCATCACTGAAGAAGATCTAGGAGGGGTAAGGGGGCCGCATGACGACCCTATCGTTATTGAATGTAAAGTGGCCAACCAGAGAGTTGGCTGAATCCTTATAGATACCGGAAGCTCCTCAGATCTTATCAGTAGAAAATGTCTGTCAAAACTCAAATATCAGACTGATTGCATACATCCGGCATCCCACCCTTTAGTAGGATTTGGAGGAGGAGTCGTCCACCTAGTGGGACGAGTGGATTTACCCATCCGCCTGGGTGAAAAAGGGGAAGGACGACACATGGTAGTCCGGTTCCTGGTAGTAGAAGAACTCTCGGCCTACAACATGATTCTGGGACGACCAACCCTGAATAATTCCAAGGCTGTTATAATCCCATCTCTTATGTTGCTCAAGTTTGAGAGGGATGATGGAACAGTCGGGTCCCTAAGGGGAGATTAGAGGATGGCCCGAGAGTGCTATCTCTCGGATATCAAGCCCACTGTTATGGCCACTATGTCAAGTGGTGGAAAAACAGACCTTGACAATGTCACAGCGAGTGCGCCTGTTCAAGAAGCAGGCGGCAAGAAGAGAAAGGCAGCCCAGACGGGGACCGCAAGAAAAGACAGAAAATAGAAATCATTGGCAGAGGAGCGGTCGGATGAATTCCGCCCTCAGCCGGCTGGTGAGCATACGGACCTGATCTTAGACGACTCGCGTCCTGACCGAACAGTCAAAGTTGGGACGACTGCTCTGAGAGTCCTGGGTGACAACTTTAAGAAACTATTGAAAGAATACAAGGACATCTTTGCATTTGAAGTCCACGAAATGCCAGGCATTAGTCCTGACCTGGCGGTACATAAACTGGCTGTGGATCCGAAAAAGAAGCCGGTAAGGCAGAAGAAGCGGAACCATGGCGAAGAAAGAAGTCAGGCGACAGCCGCCGAAGTTAAAAAATTACTTGATGCAGGGTTCATTTGGCAATGTTACTTCCCAGACTGGGTTGCAAATGTGGTGCTTGTTAAAAAGCCGAATGGCACCTGGCGAATGTGTGTAGACTACACAGACTTAAACAAGGCGTGCCCAAAGACTGTTACCCTCTGCCTAAAATTGATAACCTGGTCGACTCAACAGCCGGCCATGCTTTGATGAGCTTTATGGACGCCTACTCTGGTTTCCATCAAATTCCTTTATGGAAGAAAGATCAAGAGAAGACGACCTTCGTCACTGATCAAGGGTTATACTGTTACACGGTCATGCCGTTTGGTCTTAAGAATGCCCCAGCCACCTTCCAGCGAATGATAAACACTGTGTTCTTTGATCAGATTGGGAGAAACGTCGAGGCATACATTGATGATATGATTGTCAAGTCTAAGCTTCAGATAGATCATATGTCGGACCTCCGAGAAACTTTCGCCACACTCAAGCGGCACCATGTCATGCTCAATCCCAAGAAATGTGTATTTGGAGTTGAGTCTGGGAAATTTCTCGGATTCCTTATCAATTAGAGAGGAATAGAGGCGAACCCTGAGAAGGTGCAGGCAGTCATCGACATGCAGTCGCCTCGTACCGTCCGAGAGGTTCAGAAGTTAACAAGTTGTCTGGCGGCCTTGGGAAGATTTCTAAGCCGATCAGGCGATAAATGCTTATACTTCTTCCAGGCCAATTAACAAGGCAAGGTTTGAATAAGGGCCGGATGCTGAGGCGGCCTTCCAGAAATTGAAAGTTCACTTGCATTCCTTGCCGAGGCTGGTCAGCCCTTTGCCCAAAGAAGTACTCTACATGTACCTGGCCGTCTCTGATCATGCGTTAAGCGCTGTTCTTCTTGCTGAAAGAGACGG